CACTTCCTTATTAACTGGCGCCAAATACCAACAGTAAAAACTGAATTTATTGCGGTAGAAGCTGTGTCTATCGTTTCTTCATCTAATAAATGACTTGTGCCTCAGAAGGCAAATCCTGACACGCAGTGAACACACAGTGGTGTTTGAAGGTATCAGACGCTCTTGATTCTGGAGGTCATTAATAAAATAACAACACTAAAACTTAAACGGTAAGACATTTTATAAAGACCAAAACAATATTTCAGATGTTTTACAGTGTGCTCAGCCTGCGGGTTTGTCCATTTACACACATTTTGACCATCACATGATCTCTTATAACAAAATCACATAACCTTTTTAATGTGCATACTGAAATTTGTGTTAATCAAAGGCGGCAACACCAAGGCTCCAAAAATACAAATTGATTAAATTAAAAAGGCTGACACACATCGTGTAACGTTTCGAGCCACCTGGCTCTTCATCAGACATCATGTCTTTTATGCAATAATCTAGTTTTGTGCCTAAAGTTCATTCGCATTTTTGGATTGAAACATACCTATTGAGACTTAGTACAGGTGGCGCAGACAGAAGACAGTAGTTAACTAATGCCACCAGTCTAGTACCTCACTCTACCCCACCACAAACGTTACACGCTGTGTGTCAGCCTTTTTAATTTGATAAATTTGTATTTTTGGAGCCTTGGTGTTGCCGCCTTTGATTTAACATTTAATTCACACTTTTTGCATTTTTTTGGCTGAGCACCCAGTTAAGAGGGATGTGCATGCTTTCGTACAGTTTTTTTTTTTTTCATATTGAAATTTGTGCAGTAAAAGTGTTGCCATCATAGTTGATGCACATCTTTTGTTATTGAATAAAAAGTTTATCATACTCAGTTATGCGCATAAGTTTTTTTTTTTTTGCACATTTTCCATCAACCAGCTTTTTATGCGCATATGCAAACTGCTTATAAAAATGGTTAAATGAAAACATAGCTTTTGGGGAACACTGGAAACATAACAGTTGCTGAACTGAAAGCAAAACAAGCATAAGCTCCAGTCCTGCTCCTCTCTCATCTTCCACTGCTGTCTCTCTTACTTAAGTTTCCAGAGCTCCTCCGTGAGACTCGAGACAGGTGGTGCACACAGGTGACAGTAGTTAACACTCATGCCACAGACCTCATACAGCTCTCACTGCTCTTGGCATAGCCCCATTTACTACAGTAGAGTATTGGAGGACAGTTAGATTACTTATAGCAGAATACGTTTACATGCTTGTGAAGTGCTTATAGTCAGTAAAATGTATGTTGGGAAGTAATCAAAATAAAGTGTTGTCAGATATTAAAGGGTCACGAAACACCAAAACACATTTTTTGAGCTGTTGACAGTGGTATATGTGTCCCACACTGCTAAAAACACTATTAGGACACCAATTGACTAAAAAGTGTCAATTGGTTGTTTTTGCGTTATTTCAAGCAAATTCGTACTTCCGGTTTGAAACTAATTTTTGAAGCTGCATCACGGTCATGACATAATAGCGTGTATTCCAGCGTGCAGACTGGACGTCTGTGCCAGAGTGTGTCTTATTACATCTTACCGTGTGATGCATTAATGCATGAGTAAGGCTTGGTTCAAACCAATCAGCGCGCTCTATTGTGCAACTTCATTAATATTCATTACTGTCACAGTGTTTAGATGACAGAAACGCCACGTTGTGTTGGCAAAACAAGCGTGAAGTGTTGCTTTTATAGTTTGCTGTTGTTAAGTTTTGTTTTCATTTTCTCTCTGTGAGAGCTCAGCTGGAGTCACGCATGGATTACAGTGTACGCGACGCTCGACAACAATAACTTGCGTGTCTAAGGAGGATTATTGTTTACCTGAGAGTGGTTCTCATTTGCAAACGCTGAGATCCGGATTCGCTTGTCTTCTCTTAATAAAGATGCGGCTCTAGTTGCTAGTGATTGTCCTGTCTCTACAGATTTGGTAAGTGAGCGACCAGTGCTCTTTGTTTATTCAGTTTGTTCGTATCGAACTAAGTTAACTATTGCACCGAGTGTAAACATGTTAGCACCACAACCAAACTTTAACCTCATGTAGGGTTTTTACCGCATTTTGTGACCGGAATAACACACGTGGCTTTCTGACACTACCTGCCGTGTGCATATAAGTTTCTGGGAAATGCAGAGGTTTTTTTCTCTCATTCGCCGTGCGGTATCAAACATTGCATGAAAAATACACGCTTAGAGCAGATCCTCGAATCAAATATCTCGTTTGTCGCGAGGGGCATGAATGTTTTGACTCTGAAGCTCGTGCGTGCCCAAATAGACACTCCCACACCCTCCCACTTTAGTTCCTCCGACACTCCCCCCTAAACAGAGCTAGACACGCCCACTTTTCTGACTTTTTCCAAAGTAGAGGTGTGAAAACATCCTGCTGAAGCGAGGGGGTATCATGGCCCTTTAAGCAAACAGTATGATAATACCCTAGAGTGCAGTAGTTGACATATGACTCTTTTCCGTTTGGTACATTACAGTATCGTATCTGTTTCCACTGTCTGAACTACCAAAATGGCAAATTATACCTTTTTTTGGAACTCTTTCATAAGGATACATAGCAAGCAGTATGGTATAGTCTCAGAAATAAAGGTAAAAATCTGTCACTGGGATGGTAAATTTTCAAAATGTACATTTTTGTTCCTAATGGGTTTTTAAAGGTACATATTACATAAAGTACAAATGTGTAGCTCATTAATACCTTAAAGCTACATAAGTTACTATCGTCCACCTGCATGGTACAATATCTTTTGAAAACATACAGTACAGCCCAGTAAGTGAAGCTAGACTTACTGTTGAATGATATTGATCTACAGAGATTGTCACTTGCATGTGCAAACAAGAATACAGAAAAAAATAAAATAAAAAAAATACAGGAAGTGGCATTTTCTTAATACACAGGCAAAACTTGAGGCCATATTAATACTGCACAGTAATGAAAAATGCTCAAACAAGGCTTTACATAAAAAAAAAAAAAAAAAAAAATCTATTTCATGATGTTGTGAGTAAGAGTGAACCAATGTAAAAGGCTAGTAATCCTGTAGTTGTAAAGGCTGATTTAAACTCACAGATCACGGACCTCCGCTGACTGTGCGCGCACCTCACAAAATAGTCATGGTTTTTATAGATGCGTTCGCCTTTGAGGTATTCTTTAAAATGACAGGGGGTGGTCAAAAGAAACTCTCTGTAAAATCAGACTGGTAAACATAGATGTAGGAAAGTTTTCGGAACTATGTCATACAAATAATATTGTTCAAATTATTTGTTTAAACATTCATGATTTATTTTAAATCAAACTTTGTTGCATCACTTGCTTTTGTTCAGACCTTGGACAGTTCTACAACAGAACACTGGTTGGTCTACAAATATATATATATATATATATATATATATATATATATATATATATATATATATATATATAAGTATAAAAGTATAAAAGTAAAAATTTATAAATTAAAAAGTACAAAAATGCTGATGGTATTTTAGATTTAGCCCACTCCACAACTGACACACTACTGTCTGGCTATTTTGTGTCCTATGCGTATATGGTAAAAAGGCAATAATAGTCCAACATTCTTGACAATTATCACCAGTAAAGCCCAGAAAAACATGGCATCAGTATATTGTAAATCGATAGTTTCAAATATTATTTTCCAGTTATCAAATAAATAATTTGTACCCTAATTATATTTTTTAACTATTAAATTGTTTTAATATTGGAATATATACATCAGTGTAAAACCTATGAATGGTGAAAAAAAAATATATATATATTCTGTAATTGTATATTAAAACCATCTGGGTCTCCACTTTTAACAAACGAATACTTCAAGTTAAAAACTTTTCCCATGGCTGTTGCAATTTCTACCCAATACTTATTGTCCATCTTGTTTTTGCTATATGATCACGCATGGATGGATCATAAAGATCTTTGTACAGGTATACCTACTCAGACAAAATCTCTTAAGTGATTCATATTTAACTTAAAATGCTGCAATGCACGAAATATTTACTTGAGTCTTAGAAAATTTTGTGTGCTCTGCCAGCTACACAGCGATTACATCAGTTTCCGAAAACACTCGCAAACTAGCAAATTAACGGAGTATAAATCAGCCTGTAAAGTGTCAATGTGTATTTACATTTGATGTGTGACATTATTTCAAGTGAAACATTAAGTCAGGTTGGGACATAGAGTAGCTTCTCCTCTTGAAAGAAAAAAAAAATAAATAAATAAAAATACAGCCAAAAGCATTTTGTTTTTATCACAGCTCTGCCAGTGAGAGTTGTTGAGATCATGAGAATCAATTGAAAAGAAAACAAGAAGCACATTGAATGGGGCGGTACATGTCAAATACCAGAGAACATTTGACTGGTCAGAAAATTTGATAAGAAACTGAAGTATAAGGTAGCATCAAAAATAGTTAATTTAGGCGGAAGTGAAAAACTGCATGCTTGGAATGTTTTTATCTTCTAAATACTAATTATGTGACTGTTGTGGAGAACACTAGCTTATAGCTATCATTAAGACTAACAAACCGATACTAACAGCTAAAAAACATTCACAAGGGCTTTAAAATGCTAACCATTCATGCTAAATCAGCTAAATCAATTTGCCAGCTCTACCACACCTATTCTGAACTAAAACTTGATCTCAGAAAGGTCGATTAGCCAATAAATTCTCTTGATGTGGCCAAAGAGGTAGCAATTTCAGGTAGCAAAAAGACAGTTATCATAAAGACAGTTCTCATAAAAAAAACACTTAATACTAATGCTAATGAAGTGTAGTTTCAAAGCGTTCTCGGTAGTCAAATGAAGTTCTCTGAAAAATCCATTTGAGGTTGAATGGCGGGGGTGGTACCAGCCTTTAAAACAATTAGGGGGTGATTAACTGTAACAGTAATTATTTCTTTTTTAAATGGCCACTCTCTCGTTTCAGACCAGAAAATTGCAGACAATAAAAACTACTCACTTTCAAGGAAGCATTCCATGCTCAGAGTGAAGTTGTCCACGGCAAAAGCAATTCCTGAACTAGAGGATATATCCGCACTGAACTGCAGGTAGAATCTAAAGTGGGACAAAGAAAAACAAAGACATGGATTAAAGAGAACATCTGAACCATCTTTTGATGAACAGAAAAGCAAATGGTCGGCCAAAAGGAAAGTAGAACTATTTATTTTGTAACAATAAACTCGTGATTTTATTCCGAACCACATTATGGCGGTCTCAAAAAAATAATAATAATAATAAAAAAAAATAATAATAATAATAAATAAATAAATAAATAAATAAATAAATAAATACATACATACATACATACATACATACATACATACATACATACATACATACATACATACATACATACATACATAAATAAATAATTTTCATACTTCAAAAAATAGTCATACAATAGCCTTACACAAGGAAAAACGACTGGTAAACCTTTAGTTAATCTACTGGCTTATCACCAACCTGTTTATAAGACAATAGCTGTTTCCATCCACCAATTTTTATGCACATTTTGGATATGCGCTTAAAAAATGGTTGATGGAAAGGCAAGATGCGCATACATTTTGAAAATGCGTATAACTAAGAAGGATAAACTTTTTATCTAATAGGAAAAGATGCACATAATCTGCAATCAAGTACACTTTTACCATACAAATTCCAATATGCGCATTAAATAAAGGAACGGTACACTATGGACACATGAATCTCTGTAAAAATCTCCAGTAACATTAAAAAAGTTGCTAGATCTGCCACTAGTTGCTTTCTTTGAAAATTTGTCACTAAGGGGTCTGAAAAGTCACTAAATATTGCGACAGTCACTAAGATGGCAACACTGCATCCAGGTTGATGGAGAGTTTCTCCCCAAAATTGTGCTTTGAGTGTCCAGAAAGCACTATATAAATGTAAGGAATTGTTATTTAAAACTTACTGACTATTAATAAGCAGAAAGTTTATTGACCTAAAAGTCTTAATTGTTTATTATTCATGAGAATTGTACCTTATAATAAAGTGTGACGAAACATTTATTTGTCTAAATGTATTGCCTCAGTCAGGATGTGTCACTACAAGTATTACATCAACGGCATTCTCTCATATGCATGGAAATGAGCAGCATGACTATTTAGTTTTTTTAAATATCTGTGCACATGTGTGTCCCAAAGTAGAACAACCAACCACTATTGCATCATTTGCATTAAAAAAGTGTGAAAACACAAAATAAAAGATGAAGTGAAGCAAGTTTGAAACTAACTTGTATCTCCAAAAAAAAAAAAAAAAAAAAAAAAAAAAAAACTCAAATGTGGATTTATGACTATAGTTGACCCAATTATATTCCTCATGCCACATTATTTTGATTAAATATCACCACCCTCTGCCCTATATGAACTACCACATCCCATGATAATAAATAGGTCAGAACTACTCTTTGGGTCATAATGAAAAAAGCTATGCTACTGTGAAGTGTTGAATAAATCTTAAAAAAAAAAAGGAACTACAACAAAAAAAGGGGAAAGAGGCCAAGAATGAATTTTTAATCACCCCTCTGTGGACTGGAATTAGCAAAGCTCTGGATAACAAGAGCGGAGGTTGGGGCGTAGGGAATTGTGGGAGCTTTGGGAAGGTCAGATGAGATTCCAATCAAACGTGTACTGTAGAGATGTAAGAGCCGTTCTATTTCCCCTGCCCTCCTCACTCTTACAAGTCTAAAGCGGTTGCTAATTGGAGTGAAAGTGTGAATGAATGGTAAGCCTCTTGATCGATTTTTTTTTCTTTTTTCTATATGTCCATTCTTCTTCATCTAAGGAGGGTGATACGGTATGTATGGTATCTGCGTTGTTGTATTGGACAGGGACTAGTCACCACTAGGATTCATTAGGATTTCCTAGTAAATGTGAGGTATTCTGTAAAACCATGTAAATGACCACAGTTTGAACTGAGAACTTATTGCAAACGCATTCAAAAAAATCATTTTCTTATAGTTCTTAATCAGAATCATTCCTGACATTGTTTATGCCATAGTTACTTTGCATACTAAGGGGCTATTTACATGTTTTTGTTTTTTATTTTCAGCCAAAAAAAAAAAAAAAACTTTTGTTCACACCATGGGCTCTATTTTAATGATCTAGGCGCAAAGTCTAAAGCACATGGCACAAAATCCTTAAAAGCATGTCTAAATCCACTTTTCTATTTTAAGGATGGATGCAAGTTGGTGCATGGTCTCACAGGGTTGTGCTTAATCTTCTAATGAGTTAAGGGTGTGTTTTGAGCATAACATGAGACACCGATTGGTTTAATGCATTACTTATTCCCTTTGAGAATCAGTTGTCACACCATGGCACATTTGCTATTTACATGCCGTACAAATGGAAAAACTGAACGCTTCTAGCGAGAAAACAATCAAACAGATTGGCTGTGAGAGGATAAAGAATGAACCTCCCCCATTTGTCCTCTTTACTTTCTCTTTAATTTAGTTTTACCCTTTACTCCTTTTTTTTCTGGATAAGGAAACCGTGTTGTACGCACTCCACTGAAGTCATACATTAGCCTACATATTTAACTTTAAGCTCAAAGATTAGTTTTAAAACTATTTCTAAATTCAGTTCTAATTTCCAGCAAAATAACAAAGTGTGTTATATTAAAACACACGCCTATTCTTATGTCATATAGTGACACATAAATCTCCAAAACCTGACAGGTGGACAAATAAAAACTTGTTTTTATAAACAAATATTAATACCCACCCCTGCCCCTCCAACTTTAGAACAGCTGTCAATTGGTCAACGGCGAGGTCTGTTTTAGTTTCTCAAAATAGCAACTCGCCAACAATGCACCTTAACACAACTTCTTTATAGTCCAGAACACCTATGAGTCCACAAAGAGGTGTAAATGTATTCCCTATTTAAACTGTGGCGCAAAATGTAAAAATGACTTGCTTTGTTGTGAAAATAGCAACAAATCTCATCAAACATGTCTTGCATTTTATTGCGCCAGGGGCCTGTTTCATAAAGGAGGTTAAGTGAAAACTCAGAGTATTTTAACCCTGAAATGACTCTGGGTTTTCCATTTCAAAAAGGCAGGTTTGTTAAACTCGAGAAAGCAGGGTCAACACTGTTTCTGAAAGAGAGGTAACTTTAACTCCAAGTCAGTTACTGTGGTAACTTACTCTGTGAACCTAACCTGGTCAGCAGCAGGTTTTAGTCTCAAAACTCTGAGTTTCTGTCGGTCTCCTCTCCTTTTTCAAAGACAAAACGGTATTTCTTGACTTAGCTGTACGTTTCCACCCACCTATTTTAATGCTCATTTTGGAGATGCGCATAAAAACGATTGATGGAAACGTCATGATGCACATAACTTTGGAAAATACACATAAACACACAAAGAACAAAGTCACGTACGAGAATGGGTTGTCTTTTTTTAATAAATAAAGCTTAAATTCACTAACCTTCAACAGGGACAAGTAGATTAATTAGGATTATTATTCTTTCTAAAAACTATTGTTTAGAGGTTGATATGACATTCTAAATGTCATATCAACCTCTATCATTTAAGTGATCAATAAAAAGGCCAACACACAAGTGCACTTTTAAATCAGTTAAAACTGATCAACGTGTATACATGTGGGAACGTGTGTTTAGATTTTATAAACGTCACACATAACATTACTTATTTTATTGTACTTAAATATTTAAATACTTTGATTGTAAAATTATGCATTAGGCATCTATGTTTACCCACGCTAACTGTCTCTGTTTTATTGATGCAGTCGTGTTGCTTTTTTAAATATATGCTGATATTTGCCATAACTCTGCATGAGCAGATCAAGTTCAGCTCAGGAAAGAAACGGTGATCTCTCTTTTTTTTTTTTTCTCAATATTGCCATAGTCACTCTTAATATCTGCGCTCCATTGATAATCCTTTTTTATAGTCACAGTGTGTGTGCGCTTAACTCTGAGTTGGTGTACTCAAAGTTGATTGACCCAACTCAGATCAGCTCTTCTGAAACTCAGAGTTTTTAATCTATCAGTAAATAAACTCAGAGTTCAAGTTTAAAGTCCGAGTTGGTTGAACCTCCTTACTGAAATAGGCCCCAGGTGTATGATAGGGCCCTATGTGTTTTGCCTGTTTGTTTACATGACAATAGCATTTTTGTGACTGAAAACATACATATGAAAATGGGTGACAGTGCTTTTGACGATGCCGCCATTGCTCTTTCTACGTACCCCCCACCCCACACACACAGACACACACACACACAGAGAAAAAAAAAAACAGACTAAAAAAAAGTTTCAGTTTGTGTCGGGACAACATGAAGGAATTAAGGTAACTTATTAGTTTTAAGTGGATTGAACATACAACAGCTAAGCCCTACTCCCCAACCCACCACCCCAAAACATAACAATGATGGAGTTGATAATGGGTTTGCCAACACTTAATCAGCAAAGTGGTTATTTACTTCAAATTAAAACCAACAATGGAGACACATCTTACACACACAGCAAATTATACGTACACATCGATGTCAGTCACTTTCTAACAAGTTATGTTTAATAACATGGTGACAGTGGCTTTTTTTTTTTTTTTTTTTTTTTTTTTACCAATTTTATCAAATATGTACATTTTAACTGTTTTTGTGTAAACCTGAAACTTTGGTAAGACATTTTTTTTTTTGATGGTCCCTATTGCACAGTAGACTGTCTGCTTAATATCTGCTGATACTGCTCCTTCAACAGTTTAACTGACTATCAGAAACTATGCAAGTACGTCAACTTACACTAACCGTAACCCCAACCTAGCAGTCTACTTATAATTCAATGAGAATTAGTTGGCATGTAGATGCTATGCAACTTAAATTCAACAAAATGCAATAAAGGGACCAAAATAAAGTGATACCGAAACTTGCTGTAAAATGTGAGCGAAAAACTTTGCCATATTTTGCTGTCATGTAAACGTAGCCCCAGACCA